GTGGACCAATCGACTCTTGACGTTCGAATCAAGTGATCAAGAATCACTTGGATTTGTAAGTGGCCCGCATAAATCGCACTGATGATGTCGTCTAGTCTGATGATGAAACGTTTGCAGGCAAATCAGCCAGCTCGGAGAACGCCCACATACACTCATCCGCATCGCGAGCTACAAATATTCTCAAGATTTCTAATATATATATATATATATATATAACACGGCCAATAGTACAAAAGCATAGTAACGCAAGGAAGAGAGAGGATAAGAATACAAGTGTTCATGGGAATAGCGTGTCACGGTACGTCCGCCATTGCTCACGGTTGCTTACCATATCGGTTTCCAGCCAAGCGTGTTCGTGATCCTTGCGCCCCCAGGCAAGGATTCAAGGGCACCCGACTACGACTAACTTTGAGGTTAGTTCCTTCTTACATCTGGTACAAGTTACACGTTGGTCACCTTGCTTTCGCTATCAGCTGACTTCTGCGCGCGCGAAGAGTGCAGGGTGCCGTAAACGATCAGTAGACATGCGAAGCACATGCCCAAGCCACTGAAATCTGCGCATTGAAATTATGCTGCCCAGTGGCCGGCGAAGTCTGTCTGATCAGAAAATCCTCTCTCGAACATCCTCATTATGAGCTGAATGTTGCCACTGTAAAATAACAACGCTCCGAAGGCAGCGGCGATTAAAAACAGCCAGCGTCTCAGCATCCTCTGTGCGAACAGGCCAAGTCTCGCAGTCCTAGAACAGGACCTCTCTTATTGTGGCACTGTAAACTCGCCCCTTCAGAGACTCAGATAGTCTACACGCCATAAATGGCGAATATTAGCAAAAGAAAGTCGAATCTTCGGGACGTGTAGAGACTTCATGCGTGAAAACATTAGCGCTGAGGTAGCTTCCGAGGTAAACGAACTTGTCTACCACTTCCAATGAATGGGTAAGGGTAGGAGCAGCGCCTAGCCAGTCCAGCACGAAAACCTTGCACTTCGATAGTGCAAAGGTCATTCCAAACCGGAAGACAGACATCTCTAACCTACACAACACATTTTGGGCGGCCTGTGAGGAATTGTGAATTCCGGCCATGTTGGTTGCATACTGGAAATCCAGAAGCCGATCCACCGGAAGCAGTTCGACACCATTGGGTTCACAATTCTCCAGAGCCCACTCCAGGATTTCGTTCATAGCGAAATTGAACAAAAAAGGGGGATTCTGGGCAATCCTGTTTTACTCCACTGGTGATAATAAACAGGGGACGAAAGCCCGTTGTACACCCACACTCGGCCCGAGGTTTGGGAGTAGATGGCTTGAAGAATGGTGACTACTCGGGCACTTCCCTTCTCAGTATACAACTCCAGAAAGCACCTCGGCCGAGCCGTAGCCTTAAGAAGCACAAGCTTGCGTTGAAATCTGAAGGCGAGGGTTCGAGCCTGCGCAGAGATCGCAGTATCCTTAGCCCACAGGCGACTGGTGGTAGTTGCGCGGCAGCGATGAATCGATACCGCGTACAGGCATCGGTGCCTTCGGTTCGACCATCGGTGCCTTCGCAGTTTGACTCACATCTGGTGGGAACACGGCGTGAGTGGCGAGCGTGTTCGACGTCTTGTATACGGCCCAGGAAAAGGAATTGAACCGCTCAGCACCGTCATTTCACGCACCAGGCTCCGATGGCTGGGCCACGTGTTGCGCATACCAGCCCACCGACTCCCTCGACATGCGTTGTTTGCTCACCGGGGATGTGGATAGAAGAGGAGGGGTGGCCAAACGACGACTTGGTCGAGAGGAATGAAGACCATCACTTCTGTGTTGGCCTCGGTTGGAGCGTCACAGCTCCCTCGTTGGGGTCCAAAAGACGGTGAACACGTTTGGCTAGATACACTTGCTGACATTGCAAGTAGCCGACCTCAGTGGCGTTCCTGCTGTGAGTTTCTTTGTCCCTCCCCATCCCTTTAGCCTCCCCCTCCACCTACGATCGCATCTCTTAGCGTAAAACACAATAATTTTTATTTTCGCCTAGTAGCCGGCCGGTAGCTTACCGGAACGATGCCTATCCGTTGCTGGTAGCTCAGCTGGTATGCAACTTTGGTATTTATTTTCCTTTTTCATTTATGTACTGCGACTTAGTAGCTGAGGTGTTTCCCACCTCTAGCTGACGTGTGTATAATGATAATGACAGGCATACTGCTGATGTCATTTCGGTCAACTGAGTGAAACGCGGTTCGTATGTCTAAGAAGACAACGACCGTTTGACGACGCTCCAGTATTCAGCGAAGTTTAACGGTGTGATCGATGCAACTCCGACCTGAGCGGAACCCAGCTTGTTCTTCACGTATGTTCTGTTCGCGTATCAAGCTGAGCCTCATTAAAAGCAGATCGGCGAGAGCCTTGGAAGCAACACAGATGAGACTAATCCCTCGATAATTGGAGCAGTCAGTCAGGGGGCTCATTTGAAGACGGGCACGATATCCGTTAGGCTACTATCAGATGGGATAATTCCAGTGACCAAAACCTATTGGAGGAGGGCACTTAACTTTCTAAATCTTTGAAAAGAGCAAGGGGAATTCATCTGGACCAGCGCTTTAAGAGGAGAAGCTCAGGTGAAATCTCAGTCTCAGATGGCAGTGAAGCGACTACACAGCGGAGAGCACTGTGGATTCCAGAATGTGAACTAGTTGGCGCTGTTGACCAATTAAAGTGCTGCACAAAATGATCGGCCCAACGCTTAAGTCCGCGTTTTTAACAGTGAATTGGCTCGCCATTGGTCACACAAAACCTCGCTTACAGTCGGCCTTCTGCCGCCAGTGGATCGGATCAGGAGAAAAAGCTTACGGAAATTCCCTGGGGTGGTTGCTTACTCCCTCTCAATGACCCGCTGCGTCCACCAGGCCTCACGAGCTTCCCGGAGCATCTGTTTGTGCTTCCTGTTGGTAGTGCTGTGCAGTGAATGATATTTAACGCCATCACGTACTGCTCGATGGGCTTCGATAAGTTGGAGAGGTCGCGCAGAGAACCGGTGGCTGAGAAAACTACTAGTGAAGTCACAGACCCAGGTTGCAGAGTTGTACTTGGTACCGCGGATGTGTGTTCAGTATGTTTTAATGTCTGCATGAGGTAGTCTTCAACCTTGATGCCAAACCATCTTGAAATGCGTGGAGAACCTTAGGGGCAGAAAGCTTAGCCACGTTAAGCCGTTTCTGGCGACGCTGATGGAAGCCACCAAAATGTAACGCGACATTAACACACATTAGCGCGAGATCCGAAGTGAGATAGGTAATCCAGATTGATTTCTAATCTTGTATGCAGCTCTGCCAACAATAACTGATAGCAATGTGTCAATTTGTGTCCGCGGCTGGCCAGGTGACGCGTTGGCGCCAGCACTTTGAGAGCTAGCGCTAAACAAAAAGAAGCTGTGATCGGAGCAAAGCTGAACTAGATGAACACGGTTGTGTATTCTGCGAATACCATGGTCGTGTTGACCACCAGGTTCACGTCCGTCAGCTTCAAGTCTAGTGACCTGCGCTTTCAAGTCCCGGGCAAGCACCCCGATGTCAGTGCAGCGGTTTTTAAGGAGTAGGTCTGTCAGTTGACCATAGAACGCGTCCTTAATTGACTCTGTGCTGCAGTCGGTGGGAGCGTGCGCTGCGATGATGAACAAACGTGTGCTGGCTCCGCGCCTGAAAATGCGCACTGAGGTTTAAAGTCGGGTAGCGCAAGGGCAATTGGTGACAGGGGTCCAGCTTAGTAACGCGGCCTCAGCATATGTGCTCAACGCAATCCCCATGATAACATGACCAACGGCTACGGTGGTTGAGTCTCCATATAGGCGCAATGTGAAAGTCAGTGGAACGCACAGACGGTGAAACTAGTCGTAGCGTCGTACTAGAGTCCTGTAAACGGGTCTCACTGAGGCAACAGACATCAACGGCCGTAGTCTCAAGCGCGCGAGGAATGGCTGCCTGTGATCCGATCTACATCAGCGTCTGAACATTGAAGATTGTCAGCTTTAATTGGGAACGGGCCGCTAGAAGTGATATGGGAACACGACTTGGCGCACTCTCGACCCCAAGCTCTTGATCGGTATGGCGAGAACGCTCGCTTAATGTGGCACGGTGTTGTGGACTCGGAAACGGAAGGGAAAGGCTAAGAACAGAGGTCGAACAAACATGGAATAAAGTGATTAAACAGTGGTGCGGTAGGACATGGTTTGGAAAGTTCGGCCGCCAGTACCTCGGCCGAAAAGAGGGGTATCAGAGAAGGAGGGCAGAGAGTTTAAACTGCGGTGAAGAAGTATCATGAATGCAACAACAGCCTCAGCATGGGGTACAAGCCTCAGCCAATACATACATACTCAGGGCGTCCAAAGAGCCCGAGTGAAGCAGAAAGGAGGCCAGGATTCCTTGGACCACGGAACTCGTTGCCAAGCGCCAAGGCCGTTGACAGCAGGGTGGCTCATACGCCCTCACAGAAGCCAATAGTTAACGAGGTTGTTCATCGGCCCTCCGTTAAGTGTTCAATTGTGACCAGAAGTGACTGGTCAGTGACCCAACAGCCGGGCACATTGGCTTTAACCCGGTGTCTTATGAGCTCTTGTGGTATTTGATAAACACCACAGTAAAGCAGTCTTTTTAATGCACAGGACTCACAATAATGCCTTGCAGGGCAGATGAGTGGTTAGAGGGCAACTACCCTGCCATACATAGCAGTGCAGATGATAGCCAGAATGCCTAATCATAAGAAGATGGAACGAGTTTGAGACGCAATGGGTAGTTAGGAGTGTAGGTGGAGAGACCGTAGATGAGACCAGCTAGTTAGTGCAGGCTTGAAGCCAACGCAGCTCCTGAAAGCAGATTTGTTCCCATCCCACATACTATCCATCATGTTCTATCGGCGAATTCCTACTGATACTGAGAATACAGTGTTGCGCTTAGTTTACGAGGGTGCTAGTAAACAAGAAACCTCTCGCATAAATCATAAATTCACAACTTCTGATAGCAAATTAACTTACCCCAATTGTGTCACTTCAACGGAAACAGATATGGGTTTCGTATCTTCCCACCTCTGGTTGTCCTTTGCAGCAGAGTTGAAATCATCAGCAAGTGATGTGACGTAATTGTTAGTGGCGTGGGCAGGAGTCTGTTCTTGTGATTCAGCAGGAATAACGGGTTTCAAGCGTAAATCGTTGTTGACTTGGAGAGGGCAGGGTTGAGTGTCGTTGAAATCGGTGGAAGACCTATTAGACGGTGCGTGGTGGAACGTCGCGTCTTCCTTTGCATTCGGCCTCAATGATATGGGTGACGAGTCGCAGGCACCGATCGGAAGAGATGAAATAGGCAATGTGTCCCCCGAGGTTGTAAAGCGCGTAGGTAGAGCTGAAAAAGGTGGCATTCCTATTGCTTTGATTCCCATGGAGTAAGTAGGCTCCGGGGCTGTGTTTGCAACGAACGAGCTTAAACTATTTTCAACAGCAGTTATTTCAACCGTGGTTGGTCCCATCAGAGATAAAGAGGGTGCGTTGAGCACAGGCCTAAAGAGAAGGACCGTGTGTGCATCAAGGTAACATACGACGGTAGAAAAATGGTGGCACTGATTGCAATTCCACAGTCAAGATAACCTTGAAACAGTTGTGCACAAACAGGTGTACAGAAGGAGTCAATTAATGGAGTAAAACAGCCTAATTATGTGTAAAAGAGAACTGACTAAAAAGAAAAAAGTAACCGATGTAGGTAGTTATGATACTAGAACAAATGAAAGGAGCATATTTGGGACTGCGGGATAAGCAATGGCCTTGTTTGCACCGATAATCCGAGAGGTCTTAACTTATTTCAATCGGCTTTTGAGAAAATTGAATGTATATTAGAGCTTGACTAAGGTAACTAAAGGTCACAATGGGTTTCAACATCATTATCATTAATACACGTTAGCCGAGGGTGAGAAACACACATCAGCTAATGTGCCACAATCCAAAGAAGGTAAGAGATTAAGCAATGTAGATTTTGTTATGGGGACCCAACGTCCCTAAAATTATTAAAGGCTGAAATTACGGAAGGCTGAAAACTCGATTCACTCAACTGCACATGTACTCAGAGCAGACAAAACGCACACGTTCAATCAGCCTTCCAACTCGTGTAACATGCACATTGTTTAGCCTTTGCACCCAGAAACAGTCTTGTTTCCAACCAAACACTCATTGTTGTATCCAAGCAACATTCATTTTTCCGGACAACTCTCGCCAAACTTCCAACATTTCTGCTCAGTTTACGGACTTTGCATATTTACATAAAACCATGTTTCTTGTTTTCAGGGTTTGCGTAAGCAAACCCTTCCAAGGAAAAACACCCCTTCATCACCGTTTCGTGATATAAAAATGAGGCTGTACAACGCTAGAATCGCCTTAGCTTTGGCCAGTAAAAGCGCCTGTGGCAAAGGCCTGTCTTGTTCTTGCTTCAGTCTTGGGTTGGGAAATCGTGAGTAGAAACTTTGCGTTCGGTCTAGGAACCCGTTCGACTCGCGTGAATTAATCTTTCGCGGCTAAGTTCCGAGAACCCACAGACTTCGAGATTGTCAGTTACCGTGCTGTGCGAGAAAATAATTCTGAGTGTCGTTCGTTCATCCGACTAGGAGAGTTGGTATCACATTGTTAGAACCTGACGTATTCAAGAGGCAGTATTCAACAGATTTAAAAACTATAAAAGGTAACATAATGCTAATATCACATGTGTGATCATCGTTGGAGGGGGAAACTAAAAGGCAGGGGAGGGACAGAGACTCACAACACAAACCCCCATGAAATAGACTCTTCGCCATGTAGGCTAGTGTAACCAAGCGAACGTGTTCAGCACATTGGGTCCCTAGCCAGGCAGTCGGGAAGCAATAAACGACGCCAAGTTCGAAGTGAGAGACTTTATTCCTCTCGACCAAGTCATCGCTTTGCCTCCCCTCCCCTTCGGCCATCCACACTCCTGGCGCTCAAACAACGCAAGTCGCGTGAGTCGTTGGGCTGACATGCGCAACACGTGGCCCAGCCATCAGAGATTGGTGCGCGAAATACAGATGCTGTGCGGTGCCCTCGCTCTTCCTGCACCAAATACGCGGCGCCAAACACGCCCATTGCTCAAGCGGTGCTCCCACCAATGAGGTTAACACCACAGGAAGATTGTCACAACGCCAAACATCTAGCGAAAGTGGTACCTGGTCTATCCATGCGCCTGTGGTATTGACCATATACTTCCCATGTACCTACCAACGATGTGTCACAAGGGATGGTGTTGCATGTGCAGTTCCGGAAGGAAACCGTCAATGGTTGGTCCGGTGGAGCTGAACACTACCCGGGTTACGGAGGTGGGAACGCATTCCTTGCGAAGGGATCTGTGAATATGTACTGTCTGATCGCTCGCGAGATGAATAAGCAGTCGTAGACGATCAGCGGCAGCGTCTCAGAGCGTGGGGAATTGGGACTAATTACCTGGTTCCCCACCAAATACTACAAGAGCTCGTACGGCGATGTGTAAAAGACAATGTGGTCGGCCACCTGGCCACTCAGTTTTGTGCCCTGGATGAAGAACCTCAGTAGCCACCGGCTTCTATGTGGACATGAGATACTTGTTGGTCAACGAACTTCGTGCCTGATGGCCAGTTCTGTGATCCTGGAAATCACAGATAGCTCTTGCTCATAATGCAGAGACTGCTGCCATTCCTAGTTACTGTCTCACTAAAACCCGAAGAGCACGCAGACCGTTGACTGACAGGTGGCTCATACGCCTTCGCAGAAGGCGCTGATGCTGCATAAACTATGCGTGTTTATCGCAGATGAGCTAAAATGACTTACACCTAGGCCTGTTCTGCATCACACAAGCTTCAAGTGTACCCATCTTATGTAATCAGCCCAGTTCTGTTAATTCTCCGAATATGTCCAGTTTATTTAGCTTGGTTTTTCTATCATTTCCGGTGTTAGTCGGTTGATATCCTTTAGTTTACACTTAGACTTGCTCAGTTCTATCATAATGTCACACATTTACTGGCCAGTATGTGAGTTTATTTCCCTTCAAATACTGTATTTGTTGTTTGGCTGCGCTCGAGGTGAATGCTGACAGGGTACCGACCTGTCGAAAAACCACTACCTAGATTATACTGGCTGTAGGAGACAGTTCGCCGTTGCCTGGGGAGAGGGGGACGCATGGTCCTCGTAACCGCCCTAGACTGGAAGAGTGGTTCTATCCAGTGTGCAGCAGGCTACGGCCCAGCCACTGCCTTGTGTACGTTTGGCACGTATGATTCCCTACATAGATAGACAAGAATGCTGCTGCTGTGCACGCTGAAGGAGTGTGGGCCGGATCTGCTGATGAAACGTGGATTCCATCCATATGCCTCCCGGTCTTATTTCTTCGGGTTTACACTAGATATGGGGTGTGCGGATGGTGCAGCGCAAGCCATTCATGGTGCTTTTGTAGACGCAGGCGTCCTGTGGTCGTCATATGAATACCGCAGTCACAGGTTTACCATATATATATATATATATATATATATATATATATATATACTGTGAGAAATGTGGTGTCGAGCAGAAGACAATCCCTCTTGATGGATGCAATATCGGGTATCCTGGAGAACCATAAACTGTACACGCTTAAATGTTCATTGTGAAATCAAACAACGTGTTTAATGTATTGTCATAACATTTCAACACTCGTAAATAGTATGTAAACAACCACAGCAACATACTTAAGCCCAGGGCTCCTATTGATGTTAGTAAACTGAACACAGTGCAAATCGATTGCAACGTCATTCAGGCAAACATTGACCGGCTATGGTCTTTGTCTCAACCTGGACCTGGTGGTCGGCCAGCTTCTTGAATAAAGTTTGGTGGCCGGGGTATACCGCTTTTGCTTCTAAATATGTTGACCCTATCGGGGATATTCCCGGAATAATGGAAACTCTAGTATAGAGTTTAGAAATAAGAATGTCACAAAAGTAGACATCGAAAGTACCGCCCACATACCGATTAGTTCGAGAATTGTGAAAAAAAATCGGCTAGGCAGTTGTCGTTATCGAATTTGATATACCCAAATTAACATAAATTTCTGCAAAGACGATCATACCAGACTTATCAGTAAGTCTTTCTAAACAATCTGACAAGTCCCGTTGACAATGACAAGGCACCCATCATTCTCTTTACTGATATGCAGAAGGCCTATGACAGAGTACTGCACAACAGCCTTTTGGAGAAGTCAACAAATTTCAGGGTCAATGATCACTTACATACATGGTTCAAATCTTACCTCGCTGATCGCATGCAACGAGTACAAATAGGGCATACTTAATCCTCACCATTGAAGTGTAAGAGTGATATAAGTATAGGTAATTTGCTAGGTCCATTGCTTTTCCTAATGTATATCAATGAATTAAGTGAAAAGATAAAATTGGGGACATCATATATCTTTGTGGATGGCATAAAAATACTATACGTTATTCAGTGTCAGCGATAACGCTAGAAAAGGTTCGCGTACACCTGCTGGCTTTGGAATCATGGTGCACCGACCGGAGAATGCTTTTCTCAGCGGATAAATGCCCTGTGTTTACATACAAATGCCAACTTTCGTCAAATACACTTTACCTCGGTGGTAAATCCATCCACTTATTAATAACAATAACTGATCTAGGGATCCAATACTAGCACTCTGGATTTTGTTGAGCAAGTTGAATTCATAGCGGCCAAATCGGGAGGAAATGCAAAATTCATCTTAAAACCATTATCCATGCGTGAACCTAGACTGCATTCACTCTGTGCTGCAGTACTGCCCAATTATTTTTACAAGTGGCAAGAAACACGACAGCTTCTGCCTAGAAAACGTGCACAGACCATTCACAAAGGCGCTGTTTAACTCATCGTCTAAAGATAACCACTCTGAGTGTTGTAAAATACTACAACTGGAGCCACCTTGGTCAAGACGCATTCCGATTTGACTTGATGCATAAGCGTGTGTTCGCACCAAATATCACTATTCACTTCCAGCGACAAGGTAGATGCGCTATTAGGAATACCAAAAACAAACGCGCGGTGTTCTAAGCAAAAGCAAATATCCGAGGAAAAACCTACTCAAACAGATACAGATATGCGGCACAATGGCTGAGGTGTTTTTCATCTCTGGCTAACGTGTATGATACACTGAAACCTGGAACAGCCTCCGTATTGAAATAAGAGCACGTGAATCGGAACCAATGCTTAAAAGAGAAAGTACAAACTCCCTGACGGTGCAACACGTAAAAACAATGTTGCAACTAAGTCGCAATGAAAAAATCCTATTCGAATAGGGGGCCAGGAGGTAAGTATGTTGATTACAAATATACACAAAATGTGTGTATTTACATGGCCAACTTCTCCAGAATTGAAAACAAGATGAAAAGTTGATAGAGTCCCCTTCACTCTTCTTTACCCGACCCACTTTTCTTCTCTACTCTACCTCACAGACACACCAATAAGTGTGAATTGCAGAGGAATTGCAAACGGAGATTGAGATAACCGTTTTGTCTCCACTCTTCGTATTCTGCTTACTCAGCCACGGCTAGTTTGCAGCCATAGCAAAAAAGTGTAAGCTGTGTAGGAAATGCTGACTGCATCTGCCCTTCTTCATCCACTCCTACTATCCGTTCTTCTCGTATCCGTCTATGCTTTTCTTGTTGCTCTCAAACTAACCGAGTCTGCTTCCAACATCTTCATCCCTGTTTCCAATATTTCTCTTTCATTTTTCCTCTTACTGGCTTACACCTAGCGAACAGTAAAACTAAAACGCCTAAGCCAGCTGGCAAGTGCCAACAATGATCGCATCATTCAACACAAATAAATCTCACATTCTATCTGTCTCGGCTGAACAGAAAATGCATTAATACCTCCGTCTTTCACCACTTTTTGAACGTCACAATGGACAGAAAATGTTTAGCGTAAGTATGAGTTTAGCTTTCATGCTTCTCTTATCACGACACAACTGTTTTGCATCTTTTACCCAAAGATCCGTCCGCACACAACGCTTTGACATGACACCATGAATTGTTCTGTGTCCATTTCAAGGCTTCGAACTGGACAACAATGAAGGTCAGAAACACCATTTTTATTTCTGTCTGACATTTGGAATATGCGGTAAATATTATACGAAATGATTGTATAAGTTTGATCATGTCTCGTTTGGACATGTTTCGTAAACTCGAGAATACGGTGTTATTAATAGTATTATTATTATCAGTAGAGGTACGATTTGGGGGTTTAGATAATCTGGTGGATTACCTGGAATCAACAATTTCTTACCGGAGTACCCGTTAAGAATCTATACTGCAAGACTCAAATTGGACTGTGATTTGTTGTGAGATGAACAACGGTCAGATCCAAAACTAGGGCCGCAGCCGAACCAGTCTGACGAGCGCTAGCAAGGACGAAGGAAGTTGAGGAGTGGAGCTTGTGAGCCCACCACACATGATACCTATCTGCTTCGATCTAACTAAGCGCTCAATGTTGAGAGGAATAAACATGAGTTTAGTGCATTCCTGTTCACAATAGTTCATGCAAACGCCGGGGGACACTAGCTAAAGAGGTTATGTATGATGCCAAATGGGAACATCATGGTAATCAGACTTGGTAACAGCATTGGGATCGCCAACCATAATGAAGATTCCAACGTTCAAAAACAACGGTATTGCCTAAAAAATTAATCAACTTCCAGAAAATGGAAACACAAGTGGCTGAAATTTCGACCATTGTGCATACCGGGTTTAGCCACGAAGGCTTACTGTATTGGAGAATGGAGACGATTTCACCATGCGAGTACAATCGATCACGTAGTTATGGTTTATGGAAGTCGCATAGACAATGGGCGATCAATCTAATCATGCATGAGCGAAGTAGCTGCTAACGCTACTCGAGAACCCACGAATCGAGCTCTCGATTCATAGTGTGTGCTGTTCGTCCACGCAACCGGAACACACAATAGGACAGACAAATAGATGATCCACCTGTGAATTATATCACCACACACACAAACATCGCTGAGAGGAGGGACGCTATTCACCACCACTAGAGTGCGAGGGTATACAACAAGAATCGGCCCCAACGCAAATGTCTGTACGTTTATTTTGTTGATGAATACGTAACATGCAGTTCAGTTGCGCAGGGAAAGAGCATTGGCAGAGGAATCGATAAGTGATGGTTTTATCGTCAGGCTCCTTGTTTGCATTGCTCTCAAATCGAAACACGGTTGGGTGTAGGGGACGATTGAAAGACTAAATGATGCACATTGTAGTTGCGTAGCAAACTAGTTGATGATGTCCACGTAAGGCAACCGGAGTCTAACCGAGTCATCAGGTGCATCTGCTTGACTACGGATTAGTTGGTGGCCACACACTAATAAAGATTCAGATAACGCGTTTTTCAAAAGTGAAATCTAGCGAAAACTGGCGTGGAAGAAGCAATACAGTAGTTTTGCCTGCTTTTGTCGTTAGGTGGAAAAAAGTATGTCTATCGTATTGGGGCCATCGGTATGACCAACGTGGCAAGACGGCACAAGTGTATTCACAAGTCCGAAATCAAACACACGTGCCAGCAGAACCATGGCGGCAATCTAAGGAGAAAATTAGGCTCAAAAAGGAGAAGAGAAAAGGGATCAGAAGGGGATCTATTCTTGTTTGCTGTTTCACAAAACGATGCTCTTATTTGTTTCTTTTCTAGTTAAAAATGTACACTAAACGAGGGGAAATGGTACAGCAGCATTGAGGTCACTCACGTTTACTGTGAGATATGACCTCAAAAACTTCCAGCCATTTGGAGTCCGGATCACATGGTCCCCAACCTGAGGGTGGACAGATCAAACTGACGCCAGGCGTAAGATTATTCATGTCTCACATCATCAGTTGTTTGTTGTGACCCTTCTATCATTCACATCCACATAGTGCAAATAACAAGTGGCGAGCTGGCGTGCGCAGTAAGTGATCGAGCCCACGCAGACGGCATTGGGCAATAGTGCCCTGGAGGCAGAGACTGCTCGCTCCGAGAACTCGGCTTCTGACCTCCGCATTGCCTACAAGGTGTTAACGACGCACAAGAGCAACTGTTGGCAGGCCGCAGTTGCCAAAACCTGAAAACGGTTTCAAATCTACCAGGGGGTAGTAAATCGTTTAAATGGTACGTATGGAGCTTACCCGTTCCAGATGGAGAGAGTAATGCGGCCCACACTACACGATGTAACAGAGGGCATCAGCCAAAGTAGCATGGCAGAGGGGTGATCAAAACCTGTTAGACAACTACAACTGCACCTCGTGATGTTACGAATTCTGTCGGTATCGTCTGGGCACTAAGTCAGATATGTAGAAAAAGTAGGAACATGATCGAGAATAGTAAAGTAACAGATTCTAGCTGCAAATCCTGGACAAACTTTGAGCTCGATAGCAGTTCACGACGATGCTTATCCCTAACACCCGCAACTGTTGCAAAGTATGATGGGAGCCCGGACACTTTTCCGAAGCGCACAGCATCGTCATCCCTCCTTTAAGTAAAAGAGTAGCAGCATTTCGCACTGGCTATTTGCTGCCACACAACTGTCTGTCAAGAGAGGTGATGACATAATAAGGAACAGGAATATAAAGATTGAAAAGACGGACTCAATGTAGGGCCGTAAGTTCACAGACTAATATTGAGCAACAAAGTACCTATGCTTTGCCAACACCGCACAATCACAGACGGTTATCGTTGGCAGTGCTTTTGAAGTAGAAGGTAATAGCTGAACAACGCAACGATGAAAATGAGTCCATCGGTCACATGACTAACTGGGAGGTTACTAATTAGTTGAAATTCGTCTCACAATGATAAACTCTGTGGTGGGAAAAGTATACGTTGCAAGCGTGAGCAAATGATAGCCGCCTCAGTACAAATAGTGCATAATTAGAGCAAGGCCGGAAAATCCTTTCAGGTAGGTTGCTGCAAGTGGCAGTAGCTCAGAAAACAACAACAAATGTGATATTTCGGTGGCATCAAAAAGCAAGTCGAACAGCGAATCGAGGCTATCCGAGGAATAAAAGATCGAGGATGAAGAACATCCATCAAATTAGAAGATATTCCTCGGTGATCAAAGATAAGCACATATGCGCGCACTAATAAACCACCAGACTGTTCAAGAAGAGCAGTGTCTCGCGGTATCGAGGAATATACATGGGACTGAATCACAGGTTGCCCATATAATACACTCGGAAATTTCCGATTAGGATGATTTTGTGCAACGAAGTGATGCGCGGCGTTTTCTTGTGGCCGGTCACGACACGTCGTTGACTAGTATAGGGTAAGTAAACTTGCTGAGTAGAAGTTTACCGGTGACGCGGATAGGGAACGTCAGTATGAACTAACGTGTATTAACCGAGAAACAGGCCTGAAATGGGTTGTGCATAGAGCAACGGAAAAATAGGGGAGCACTGAAACAACACGTAGCGTATAAATATTCAGAAAGAACAAAATGACGCGAAACGCGCACCTCAGTAAGGGATCCATAGAGACATCCAATTCCGCTTCAGCTTCTCCTGCTGCAATTGGAGTGGCCGAAGCATGTAAGGGAGCTATGCTGTGGGTTGTGAAGATTTGATTCCTGTACCCCAGAGGACAGCTGTCTAAAGAATCCGACAGAAATGGCCTGTCCCCATCAACCTTGACTAAAGTGGATTGGGGGCAAGTGGAAGATGAGACTGGGGCAGCGTCGATGAATTCGGCGGATGCGAGCGACATGTCTCCAGCACCGTCCAGATTACGGTGATCAGGTGCACTTGGTCTCTCCTTTGTTTTGAGCTTCTTAACGAAAGGTAGTGAAATACGCCGTAGACTGTTTTAGGAAGTGAAAGGAAGGAAGGAATCATGTGGGAGACAATACTCATGAACAAGGCAAAAGTAGAACATTAAAATAAATTGAACTACTAGAAAGCCTGAGAGTAAGCAAAGTAACATCGCATAAAATGCAAATGTGGAAGATCTCGGTGAAGTCGATTGTTATTAGGGTTGTCATAGCCACACTGAATTAGTCAGTGTACGTCGCAAACGTAATAGACGGTTCTTCACCATTTCAGGACTCGTCAGTAGTGCACATTGTATCTACGAAAAGAGAGAATGAAATCTACTGCGCCTCACTTTGGATCCCGTGGTCTACGAGTAGTCTAGGGAAGTCTTTTTCAACGGCAGCCTCTATGACTCCCGGGGGCCATAGAGAATTGCCAGTCGCCCTATGATGAGAAAAACACCTAGAGGGGGTCATAAGGACCATGCTGTGGAAACTGGGTTGTAATAAAACAAACAACAAAATACATTGTTAAAAACTTTCACAGTTCGCGCACTATTCCGCCTTAGTCACTACCGGTCAGTGAGATGGATAACGCGTGCACAAGTGGCTGTTTACGATGGTGTGAAACCCAGACCGGGCAGACGTTCTGTTGCGGAGCTGATATAACTCCGAGAAACTCGCGCAGATTTCGTCGGGTTCACCTCAGACGTACATTCACCATATGGCGACTCAGACTGTGGAAGTAACAATCGTGATGCCCCCAGGACTTTGAGGCCAAGCACACTGAGCTCTACTCAGGACACTGATGCATCTACTGTGCAAGCTACAATGAACGCACTGAACTCCTAAGCACACTGCGACAGTTACCGCACAAAGCCACACTGACAGTAAATGAGTTCCCCAAGGACGACGGAGTGACAACTCATGTGCCGGTCGGTCTTTCTTTCGCTATGGGTCTCAGTGCAGTAAAGTTAGGTTACGTGTTTCTCGTCTCTGGTTTCAACTCGAGTGTATGTCTAGCGGCAAGGTCACGTCAATCCGTAACGTTCCGATTTCGAGTGGCTACTACGCGCAAGTGGGGGGCTACTTTTAAAAAACGTTCGTCCGTTCCAACTAAGAGCCGAAACAAGTAGGATGCGTTATAACGCGTTCTTAACACTCAGTTCAGCTGAAGTCGTCAAATTAGTGAGCAGTTTTGTCAACTTACATGATACGTGTGTATAGTTGGTTCTTGTGGGGAGTATATACGACATAATGTGTACATAAGGATACTTCTCGTAAAATAGCAATGCCAACACGCATCGGGCGCCACGTTTGGCAATAGCCTATGTAATTAGTTCCGTTGTTCACTCTCCCATGCCTGTTTCTTGAAATGTCCGGCATTTTCTTTCGTGTTTGTCCCCTCTGTCTTTCATTTTACCTGTTGTCACTGTTTCCTCGCACTTCGCTGTAATGAATATGTCCAGTGAGCATTGTCATTTTCTAAACTCTATTTGTTTTCTTCATTGGTTTTCGTCAGGAAGTTACCTTCAGTCAATTAAGCTATGTACGGAATCTGCAAAAGCATCCTTAGAAAACACCTTTGCGTTGCCTATAATAGTGTTGGTACATTTTTATATTGTGGTCACCAAATGTCAGGATTATGCTTATCATATTTCTTATAAGCTCACTGTCAAGCAAGAATAAAATTAGTGTCACCAACCATTCATATCATCTGCGTGTTTCACCTTGTGGAATAATGCCATTTAATATCCATGATACAACTGCGTAAGAAAAATAAAACAATAGCAATATTATAGTAAACTACATATTAACAAGTCGCAATGATATATTTCAGAAATGAGCTCCTCGGCAGTACTCCGTGAAATACCTGTCATTTGGATTTATCGAATCACCTCGAAACCTCAGTCTATGTATTTAATCTGCCAGAACACACAAATCAAAGTATGCAAGCTGAAAAATCATTTGGAAAGTGTTCATAGGGACGAAAGCGGAAAGTCTGTGGATGTTTTAAGAAAGCTGCGAGATAGTTTCGAAAAAAAGACCAACTTTAAAGGAAATGGTTTCCGACTGCAAAAATTGGAGAATGGACTTCTAAAATCAGCGAGTCGATTGCCAAATATTGTAGTCCACATAATATTGGAGAAAATAATACCTAGCCAACAGTATAATAATAAGGTCGGACCTAATGAACATGAATGCTTAAAAAGCAGTTCAAGTCATTCCGCTCAGCAAATCAACTGCATCCAGACGAATAGATTATATGTCTTAGGAAATAGAAAATAATTTAGTTACTTTACTACAATCCTGAAAATTTTCGTTAAAATTAGATGAATCTACTTTACCCGACAACCACGATTTTCCCGTGGCAAATATCCGACTCTTCAATGGTAACCAAGTAATGGAAGAGACACTTTGGCAAGATAATTAACCTCATACAAAATGCTAATTTAAAATTTGAAGCAGTCAATGAGTATCTGCCTGAAAACATCATCACAAATGCGGAAGCTAGTTGCATGTGCAACAGATGGTGCAGCAGTATCGGTCGGAAAACATATTGCAATCACTGTCCATATAAAAAAGTTTTTCCTTTCTGCTCATACAATGCATCGAGACTATTTAGTGACTGAGAACCTGGGAGGGCGCTTAAACGATTCACTGTCAATTGTTATGATAGTAGTCAGCAATATCAAATCGTACGCTCTTCAAGATCGTCTTTTCCAGCAGTTGTGCGAGGAGAACAGTGAAGATTCTCAGATTCTATTGTTGCACAAAGAGGTTAGATGGCTCTCTAAGCGCAACTGTCATCACCTTTTTGTTGAACCCTGGGATAACATCATCGCATTCCATTCTGGAACTGATTACGAAAGGAAACTGTCAACAGCTAAGGCAGACGAGTTTTATCTGGATGATGCTTTTGAAAATTCAATTTATAAAATAAAGCCCTTCAACGCAAGTTGAGTAATCGTATCTCAAGCAAAGAAGCCATTATCGCTTTTCTTAAAAAAGCCGGCAATGTATGCTCAAAACATCGGAATTCGGGAATGTTCACAGTTCCCAATTCTCGCTACAGTCACGGAGGAGCTGAAGGATGAAGACATAATTGTTTATGCTAGTCACTTACAACAACTCTGAAAGGAAATGGAAGACAGAGTTCGTAACCTGATGGAAATGGAAATCCCGATTTGGATTTTAAATCCATTTGATATACAGCAGAGCAATGTTGCGGCTAAAATCCAGGAAAGTGTTATGGAGCTTCAAAGTGACACACTAGCAAGATCCAAATACAAGTAATATAAAATGGATTTTGTATGACGACTGACGTCCATGACAGAGATCCCAGACAGTGGGAAATAGCTAAAATATATATCTTTGCTTTTCCATCCACACACTTGGTTGGATATGGATTCAGCGCTGGGTTCTGCATCAAGAAGTAGAAAAAGATTGGACATCACAGCAAGAGATCGGTGACTCTCAACGTCAAGCCTGGAGTCGGACATGTGCAAGTTTGCTCAAGAACATCTGAGTCAAGGCACGCATTAATATTTCCACAAAATATTGTTAAGAAGTTGCTATACCTGTTAATTCATCACGCGCTCTACAGCTAAAAGCTGACAATAATTAAATACAATTGTGATCATTAATATTGGCTTTGGTGTAATTGCAGATATGTAGCTTGGTGTCGCTGCATACTGAATGTTATCTTGAGGCTGTGAAAGTACAAAACTAAGATTTATAAGGGAAAGGGCAGTGATACCAACATTGAAAATTTAGCCATCATAACAAGAGATACTAATATGATAACTGGAAATCACAGATTTAATTCTTTTAGGAGTTGCGGATTGCTGAAATTGTGGTGATCAAGGGTGGACAGCAGTGAGAAATGGAAAGGTTCAAAATGGGGTCACGGTTGAATTTGTTGCCTGGGATTTTCTGGAAAGCGTGCATTGCCAGATATGTCAAAAGCATCTGGGAAATTCTGGTGCTGCGTAGAATTTATGCTCTTAGCGAAGGACGGTCACTCACTGACGCGTGTATAAAAACGGAGCAAAAAAATAAGCAAAAAGGATAATTCCTAAAGTGAATGTGAACTGGTTCACGGAATACACAAAAGACGAGAGTAAAGAGGGACTAGCAATTATAGTCACCGAACCCGGAAAGATTCAGCCTTCTAAATTAATGCGACTTGCAGAACAGGTTGATGTGAACACAGCACAAATCATTCTAACTTAACCTCTACCCCAGTGGTTCCCAACCTGGGGGTACTTACTCTCAAGGAGATAAAATGCAATTTCGAGGTGGGTAAATGTAAGGAAGATGACTGGATCAACAATCAATTGCCAAAAAAATCATTTGTATCATAAGATGTAACTAACTACATATTGAATATGGTTTAGTCATCAGTGACTAATGATAAATGAGTGTTCGGTGAATTAGACAATTTCTGTCTATCCATGTGTTGTATAATTTTTGCTAATTTTTAGAAAACGGTCGTTGATCGCATGAATGAATAAGTTGATAGAGGCCAATGAGAAAGACGTTACTCGTGATCCTGATAAGTATTTTTGAACGTGTTAAATGTGTAACTTGATGTTCTACAATTGAAAGCCTCAACTTTAGGCCTTGATTACAAAATCACTCCTAGTAAGATGAACCAACTTTTCGTTCAGGCACAATTTGAGCATATTTTAATCAGTTGACAGGACTCGAAACAACCAGCCAGGACACTTTCAACTGGTTTAGAAACAAATTGACTGACATCGCTCATGAGGTTCAGATGGTATCGGTGAGCGAGAAATGTGCGCTCACAAGCAGACATTTGCAGGCGTCACGAGAGCTGAAGGACGAGTGGTTGTATTGAAACCAGACGAAGGCTCAGTTGCAGTAATTATGAACAGGTACGACTAGATTAAGAAAATGCTGCGCATACTGAACAAGGAAAACAAATTTCAACCTATCGATCAACTGGAGAGCAAGTCGCAAGTAGATTCTCGCATCAGTCGCCATTCAGAACTAATTCTGTTACATGGCGTCATCGACCACGAGAC